GTGTCCGGAGACAGGAGTTCCGTCTTCTCAGTACTCATACTATAATTGGAGTTAGAGTTCGAGCAGACATTGTTTGGCACCAAATAATCGGTCGCATCTGGCGGTGGACGCATCAAGGTCATCTACATGTACAATTAATCATGGTCATCTACATTTAATCACATTTATTGATTCAATTCACTTGTAAAACTATATATTATTTACTTCTTAATTTGATTGTTAATTATAATTCTTAAATTACTGTATTCTATTATTTATAATAATATTTAATTATTATAATGTATCACAAAAAATAATATAAATTATTATGAAATTAATATATAAATTATATACATTCTATATATATATTTTAGAATTTCATATTCAAAATATATTCTATAAATGATATATTCTATGATTTGTCTGCAAAACACTTACATCTCTTTCCATTGAAGGCGCCCTTTGAAAGATTGGGAGTTTAACATTGAGGACATCGGGGTCTTGCAGACAATAGCCCAGTCTTTCGATGATTGTAGCAAAAGAGGGCCGTCCGTCGGGCGCAGGACTCCAGCACTGAGTCATTATAGCGTATACTTGAGGGGGTGTTGAAGGGTTGGGCGCCTCCAGTCTGCCGCCCGCTGTCACCATTTGCATGACTTCTTGGTTACCCCGACCGGGATATGGCATATATCCCATTGAGAACACCTCCCATAATAACACACCAAAAGACCAAACGTCTGTTTTTGATGTGAATATGCCGTCTAAGAAGGCTTCGGGAGGCATCCATTTGACCGGAAGCATGGCTTTACCACCTTTTCGATAATAATCAGCTCGATATATGTCTCTGTAATGGAAAATTAATTCAACGTCCAAGATTTAAATGCAATATATGGAGTATAGAGTTAATCCTGCACTCCATGTCATACCTCGCCATTCCTGTAATTATTAAATAAAAATTAATAATATTTTAAAAATTATTCAATATATTAAAATTCTTACCAAAATCAGCAATTTTAACAACAATTCCGCTGTTATTAAATCCATTGTTATAATTAGTTATATTAAACATTGGATTCATATTATTAATAGTAGCAGACAT